TCTTACACTGCAATTGTAAACAAAATACTATGTTTCCTTGTGGGGTCGATATCCAACAATTCATTACTGTCTACTTTACTTGCATCAACAATGTACGCTTTCACATTTATGCGGTGACATTTTTAGCATATCATGCATCAAGCATGTTTTTAATAAGCATGTGAAATGATTTATACTTGTTGCATTTAGAACATTTGTTGAGCTTTATAAGACAACTCTTGGTTTTAAAGTTTTATAGAAAAATTATGCTTTTGGAGGTTGGAGAAATGGGCAAGAGAGTTGTGCATCCAAGGCCATGTCTAAAAGTAATTACATTTTTAGTTGGACATTTTTATTGGTTTTTGTGGTTTGAGGTGTGTGATGAAAGGTTAATTAAATATGCACAATGTTGCATTTTGTTAAGGTATGCTCATGACATGAAAGTATGTTGACCTAGACCTAGCATGTGTGTTATTGGATTTATTTGCAATATTGATATGTATGCATGATGATGTTGATGTTTAAACATGATTCAAGTATACAAATTTTGTTAAATATGTCAAATATTGAATATAAGGTAATCTATCTATTTGGGCAAGTCACATGAGTTAAATAAGAGTTTGTATCACTTTGTTGAATGGTTAAAAGACATAAAATGACTAATATGATTAGGTGAGTTCCCAAAAGGCAATTTGAAATGCGTAATTTGACCTTAATCCATTGGGTTTGTTCAAACATGATTTTTGATGTTATGAAGCATGATTCTATGTTGTTTTTATGTGTATGATATGTTTGAACCATGTTCATGTATGCTCATTTTCATCGAGATTGATCAATGGCATGTTTAAGATAAAAAAGGGTAAACTTTATCAGATTCCACTGAACTTTAGGTGTTGTATTGTTTATACCACTAAACTTTTAATTTTGTCAACTATAGCACTAAACTTTGATTTTTGTTTCAATTATACCACTAAACCATTAAATTGTTAGTGGCACGATGACGAGGCTGACGGTTACCGACATGGTTGACGGCTATTGACGTATACACCTCCCCAAAACAACACCATTTTGATATGGTTGTTAACGTTTTAATAGCCCAATGGTATAATTGAAATGAAAATAAAAGTTCAGTGCTATAATTGGCAAAAGTGGAAGTTTAGTGGTATAAATAATACAACGCTAAAAGTTTGGTGGTATATTGTAATTTACCCTAAAAATTAGGGGAAACTACATAAATGACCACCAAACTATGGGTTTGGTCTCGAAATGACCACCATTTTCAAAACTGCGTCAATATGACCACTAAACTATATGATTGGTCAATATAGCACCCGACGTTAGTATTTAACGGAAGTGCTTATGTGGCAGATAAAAAATTGTATAATTACATAATTGACTCTTAATACTTGTACTTTCAATCAATTTGGTCTTAATTTTAATTTATTTAATAAATTATTTATCCAATTAGCGGTGACACATGTTATCATTAGATTAAATGATAGTTTTCTTAATTTTAATTTATTTATTTATCTTCCAACTCGATTGTGACACGTTTCACCATCGGATTAAAAAAAACTAAATTGCAAAGAAAGGTATAATAAATGGTAATGGGGGATTTGAATTTGGGACCCTGGGGAATGAAGTTTAGCGCACAACTACTGAGTTAACCTCCATATTTGAGTTATGTATAAAAAAATAATATATATATTTTATAAAGTAGTTAATGCTAAAAAAAAGAAATAAAAATGATTATGAACAGATATGAATTTAGGACTAAAGGAATGAAGCACAATCGGATAGCCACTGAACCAGCCTCCATATTTGTGTTGTGTTTTACATAATAATATATATATTTTATAAAGTAGTTAATTCTAGAAATGAAAATGAAAATTAATATAAGGGAATTTAACCTAAACTAAAATTTAAAAATAAAGTGTATGAATTATGTATATTTAAGTTATTTTTTTAATAGATTGTGTGGTTTAAATTATTAATTTTTTATAACTTAAACTATAAATTTTATTTTTCTTAAAAATGATTAATTAAATTAAAAAGACTCAATTTAAGATTATATATAGTCATTCAATTATAAATGTGAAAAAGAAAATATTAAATTTATTTTAAAAATATATAAATTTTAAAAAAAATTAATAGTTTATAAAACAATTTAAGTTTAAATATAAAATCTGCCAAATTATTATCTGAATGTATGGTTTGTTTGGTGGTTTGGTACTCTATATTTTTCATGGCCTAGGTTTAAATCCCTTCGTAAGCATTTTTTATGGTATTAACTTCTTATATATATATATATATATATATATATATATATATATATGTGCTTGATTTCCTTAGGTCTTAAGTTCAAATCTCCCAACACCATTTTTATTATGTCTTTCTTTGCAATTTAGTTTTTCTTTAACCAGATGATGACACATGTCACCATCTGGTTGGATGATAAATAATTAAATTATAATTAAAGAAATTATCATTTAATCTAATGATGACATGTGTAACCATCTAATTGGATTGATACTTTATTGAATAAAATTAAAATTAGGACCAAATTGGTTGAATGTAAAGTATTGAGGTTCAAATATATAATTATACCAATTTTTTAACTACCACATAAGCACTTCTGTTCAATAATAACGTCTGGTGGCTATATTGAACCCAATTAAATAATTTTGTAGTCATATTGACACAATGTCACCATTTGGTTGAAGATAAATAATTAAATTAAAATTAAAGAAATTATCATTTAATCTAATATTGACATGTGTCATCGTCTGATTGGATGGATAATTTATTAGTTAAAATTAAAATTAGACCAATTTGATTGGATGTACAAGTATTGTGGATCAAATATGTAATTATACCAATTTTTTAACTGTCACATAAACACTTCTGTTAAATACTAATGTTGGGTGCTATATTGGACATAATTAAATAATTCAGTAGTCATATTGACGTAATTTTAAAAATGGTGGTCATTTCGAGATAAAATCTATAGTTGGGTGGTCATTTATGTAGTTTACCCAAAACTTTACTTATTCATTCTATTTCATATAATTTTTCAGGGAAAAAAGATTGATTGCTTTTGAAAAGGATCGATCCTTTTAACCTTAATGACTCGATTGATTTTTGGGAACATTCTGAAAGCAAACATTCGATTCCTCTAACTAAAGGATCGGGCCCTCGGGCTGAAAATGTTGAAAATATTTTGAAAAAGCTATTTATGCCCTTTAAGTTTTGTTTTGTTTTTTGTTTCAAATAAATTTTGTATTCTTTACAATTTAGTTTCAGAATTTCAAAAATGCAATTAGTGATCGACTTTAACACAAATAATTTCACATTTTCAACAGTAGACTTTTAATGAATTTAATTTCATAAATTTACTGAAAATTTTAAGTTTCAAATTTATTAATAAAAGTATTTAGAATTTTCAATCTAATCCCTAAAAAATTTATTTTGTACAATTCACTTAAAATATAACTTTATTTCAAAAATAAAATTCACTAGATCCCTTATCGAGGGTTTTAATTATGACTTTTTTGACTGAAGCAAACTTGGTTAAGAGAATCGCCCTTGCCTATATAGTACCCGATCCAGATTAATCGTTCAATAGATCGTATATCAATAATTATACCAAAAACTAGATTATTAAATATTGTATAGATATTAGTGTAAAATAATGATTTTGTCTATGTTTATAAAATAGTTAGTTTAATGGCCTAAATACATTTTGGGTGATGAATTTGTTTATGTTTTACTTTGTAATGTGCATATTTCTAATATTGTTTGATGATTGCTAAAACATGATTGGATGCGTGAATTTAAGTTTTCGTTTTGAGTTACTTCAATAATTAATGTTATGTTTAATATTTGAATTGGACCATGACCGAGTATTAAACGTCACAGACATATTGATTTATTCAAAAAATAAATTATACAAAAATAAGTGGTTGTGACTCAGAAAATTGATTTTGTAAGGTTAAGTTAAAATCCTACCACTTTCACTCTCGGTGGATAATCTATAAATTCCTATTTAAATCTTAATTGGGTCTTAGGTATACCCTAGCCTTAGACTGAAGAAACCACCTTGACTTAAACTTTAATGTATGAAAAAAACCATTTTTTCTAAAGTTAAGTTAATAAGAAAAAGTTATATCAACAATAACATGTACTATGAAAATGCAATTCTTTTCCTGAGTAATTGAGTTGCCTCCTAATGAACATCGTTGTTGATTAATTAAGTTGTAGTGGAGATTCAAGGACATACTTTGAATAATCCATTGATGATAAAATCTTTTACGTTCAGTTTCAACTTTTGAACAATTGTTAGAGGTAAGCATGGGTTGGGTTGAGTCGTTTCTAGTAGATTTGACCCAATCTGATAAAAATACATTTTTATTTAAAATTTAATTTGATTCGAGTTTAGGGTGATTTCATCCAACTCGTCATTTGAGATAAAATCCACACCCGACTCAGCTTGACACAAAAAAAAATATATATATATATATTCTTAATTTTATTCGATAATAGATCTAATAAAAAAACATAGATAATGGCATTATTGTGATTATATATAAATATATAGGATATAATTGCATTATTTTTTCTGGTCAAGTATTTTTTTACCTTAAACCCAAAGTTAAACCCAATCCGATCCGCACTCAAACCTGATTTTTCTTTAAAAATCCAATCTATTAAAATTGGATCAAATCAAAACTTATCAGATTCGAGTATGATGCTCATACCCAGTTAGAGGTGTTCAATAAGTTTGAGTCGCAATATTTATCATGTATGTGGTGTGGATGTGTAATTTACTATGGGAATATGTGAATTGTCTCCAAGAAAAAGAAACAGATTAAGCCATGAAAAGCAAAGCTCCATATCAAAGATTGAAGTCAATGGATATTGCTTCATTAAGTTATAAAAGGAAATTAAAACACCAACAGTTGATAAAATAAAAACCACCCATAACATGACAACGTCATCCAGAGAAAATTAAAACTAGAATTCTGAAATTGTTCGCATAGTCGACTAAAATACTTGGAGCAGTCCTCATTCCTTCACTGATCAAACCCCACGTTTCATTCCTGAAACAAATTAGGGCAAACAATCAAAACTCTAGAACAATTCACCATTTCAATGGATTACATAAATATTACTGTATGATTTTTGTATATAATGGGAGACATTACCAGATAGTTAAATGGTGGCGAAGAGCCTCAAATGGGGATCAATTGGCAGTCCAATCCCCTCATATATTGGATCATACACTGAATTTTTTATTGGCCTGAAATCATAAGATTCTTTTAATAAGGATTTCATGGTTGAAGAGAAAATTATTCAGAAATTGTATCTGTAGAACAACCTTGGACCAAGAAGGCTACTGTTACTATTAGAACTAGTGACAATTCCATTTTGTGGAGAGAGAAAATTCCTATTCTCTTGTTGAGCACCGGATGCATTTGGCACACTCGAGTCTCTCTGTAATTGATCAAAGAAAGGATTAGCTTGAATTCATTCATAAACTTGGAGAAATGAATTTGAGCATTTGTGTAGATCAATACCCTGAAACGCTTGAAAGGTGATGGTGATGATGATGCTCCAGAATCAAATGTCCTCCTCGAAGAGCCTCGTCGTTGTCCCGGATTTCGTCCCTGAATCAATTAGAAAATCAAAAATCGGAACTGAAGGAAACAAATTAAAAACTCCTATCCAAAAGTTGGCGAGATGATACCTCCCTACGGCAGTTCAGTGATGTTTCCATTTGATAAGGAGCTGATGCATCACCAGTTTCCTGCAATCACATAATTCATTCATTAGTCAACGGAAAAAGGTTATTGTTTTCACATTATCTTGTTGGTGATAAAAGGGTTTCTACTTTATGAAGTAATGAGTTCAAAATAGTGGTTGACAAGGAAGTCCCAGTTTGATTCAGCAATCCCTGTTGTTGTTGAAGCCTGCAAGTGAAATTAAACCTCAATCAGATTAAAAAGAGGTTTACATACATTTTTAAAACAGTAAAACGAATTGCCAATTTACCTAGGCATCATTGAGAATCGACTGCCTGTTTGCTGATGACCATGCAATCGATACGAACTTCTATTCAAACAGACAGTGATTATGTTTAAATTACTTCGTATGTCGTCTGAACAACACTTAAAGCAAGAAATTATAGGGTTAAAAAAGGATACCCCGAATGCATTAGACTTTCTTGCAGCATGGAGTTGGAACCATGTGTACCAAATCGATTCTTCATTGGATGGAATGGATCCAATTGATGTTGTCGTTGCTCGTTTAAACCTTCCAATATGAATCCCCCACTGAATACAAAAGGGCGAATAGATAAGCCTGTGAATCATATCAAAGCAAAACCCTGAAAAATTGAAAGAAAAAAATTGTTAATAGGATAGTAAGTACCTTGGAAGAGTGGTGGTGGCTTTGGATTGCAGAGAGTTAAGATACTCGAAATCCGATACACCGAGCGGATTGACTTGAGGAGGAGGAAGACGAATCGGGGTCCTAAATTTAGAAAATAAGGTGAATCAGTCCACATTTATCTTCTAGGCTAACTTCCTTGACATAATAAAAAGAAAGACTATAAAGGTACCTCGCAGGTATGGAAGATTCAGGCAGTCTGATCCTGTAAGTTTGTGGATTAAAAGCTCCGGTTGTGATTGCGACTTGATCATTTCTTTTGGAGAAATTCCCGGGCCTGAAATAAAAAAAGAAATAGCAAACAAAGTTTCATATTTGCACATTACAAGATTAATAAAAAGAGATAGAAGAAAGGTGAAATACATATGCTGGAAATGCTTAGTCAACATAGACTGCTGGAGAAGTGAATTAGATGCATTTGGCATATTGCGGCCTGAATTGTTTAACTGCTGGAGAAGTGAATTAGATGCATTTGGCATATTGAGGCCTGAATTGTTCAACTGCTGGAGAAGTGAATTAGACGCATTTGGCATATTGGGGCCTGACTTGTTCAACTGCTGGAGAAGTGAGTTAGATGCATTTGGCATATTGGGGCTTGAATTGTTCAACTGCTGGGGACTGTATACGAAATATGAAAACTCAATCAAAAAATATTTCTAAATATTATGTATGCATATAGTTAATTCAAATGTTTTAGTACCTTAAAGGTGCTGAAGGCCTAAGTGAAACAAAATTGTAACGTTGAGGATCAGAATTGCCGGTTGCTTGGAACTGAACAAATTGTTGCCTGAAATCCAAAGAAACAAAACATGAAGAACATCATAAATACTGCAGTTTCAATTTCCTTAATCATAGCAAGAAGATTGTCGATTGGTGTTCGATCAATCCATTACCCTGGAGGAGCCAGAGGCCTGTAAAAGTCATTATCTTTATATGAGACCCCATTTGGTGCTTGCTGGTTGATTTGTTCAGATCCTCCATTTAGATATCCAGTCTCGTTCTGCTCAGTCCAAAAAGAATACAATTAATAAAGAGAGACCAATATCGACGTCGCGTAGTAAATAATTAATACTCACTGAGTTTTGAGTGAACGAGTTTGAGTAGGGAAGTCCTTGATGACTGTTGTTGAAATTATTGTTTTGTTGAACCTGATTATCCCACATTGTTACCTTGCCTAGGTTAGATGATTCCACCCTTTGAGACCAAATATCAAATGTTAGAAACATGTTATGTTGCGCAATAATATTTCAATAGATAATTAAGGTAAAAAATCAACATACCCTTGAAGCTCAGCTTGGAGGCTACTTCCAATATGATCATTAACCTGATTTATTTGAATTGAGTTAACTTGTTGCGACTGAAATGGTTGAGTCGAATAACTTCCATTTTGTGGGAGTGTTTCCGTCTACTCAAGATGAGAGATACATTAACTAAGAACTATATAATGTAGTGTAAATAGATTATAACACATTGACATAGAATTAGAGGTTACCAGTCCAGTATCACCATTGACCTGGTTTGTTTGAACTGAGTTAACCACATGCTCCGAGTGAAATGACTGAGTCGTATAATTTTTATTTTGTGAGAGATTTTCCGTCTGATCAAGATTATATATAAATTAAATAAGGATTATATAATGTAGTTGTTAATAGGTTATAACTCATTGGCATAGAATTAGAGGTTACCGGTCCAATATCACCGTTGACCTGGCTTGTTTGAATTGAGTTAACCACATGCTCCGAGTGAAATGGCTGAGTCTTATAACCTCTATTTTGTGAGAGATTTTCTATCTGATCAATATTATAGATAAATTAAATAAGAATCATATAATATATTGTAAATAGGTTATAACTCATTGGCATAGAATTAGAGGTTACCAATCCAGTATCACCGTTGACCTGGTTTATTTGAATCGAGTTAACCACATGCTCTGAGTGAAATGGTTGAGTCGTATAACCTCTATTTTGTGAGATATTTCCCGTCTGATCGTGATTATAGCTAAATTAACTAAGGATTACATAATGTAGTTTAAATAGTTTATAACTCATTGTCATAGAATTAGAGGTTACCAATCCAGTATCACCGTTGACCTGATTTTTTTGAATTGAGCTAAACACATGCTCTGAGTGAAATGGTTGAGTCGTCGTATAATCTCTATTTTTTGAGAGATTTTTCATCTGATCAACATTATAGATAAATTAATTAAGAATTATATAATCTAATATAAAGAAGTTATAACTCATTGGCATTTAATTATTGGTTACCAGTTCAGTATCACCATTGACTTGGTTTGTTTGAATCGAGTTAATCACATGCTCTGAGTGAAATGGTTGAGTTGTATAACTTTTATTTTGTGAAAGATTTTCCGCCTATTCAAGATAATAGATAAATTAACTAAAAATTATATAATTTAGTGCAAATAAGTTATAATTGATCGACATATAGTGAGAGGTTACCATTCCAATTCGACCATTGACTTGATTTGTTTGAACTAAGTTGACCCCATGCTCTGAGTGTAATGGTTGAGTCGAGTAACCTCTATTTTGTGGGAGCTCTTTTGTCTGATAAAGATGAGAGATAAATTAACAAGAACTATATAATAAAACGTAAATGAGTTATATATGATGGGTAAAGAGTTGGAGATTAGCAATCCAGTAGGTTCATTGACATGATTTGTATGAATCGAGTTAATCCCATACTGAGTTGAATAACCTCCATTTTTTGGGAGATTGTTTAGCTGATCAATATGAGAGATAAATGAACTGATAATCATACAATGTAGTGTAAATGGTTTACATCTAAATGACAAAGAGTTGGAGGTTACCGATCCAGTGCGATCATTGAACTGATCTGTTTGAATTGAATTAAGCCCTTGCTCCGTTTGGAATGGTTGAGTCGAATGACCACTATTTTCTGGGAGTTTTTCAGCCTGTTTAAGATTAGAGATAAGTTTTCTTAGAATTATATAATGGAGTGTAAATGATTTATATTATGATAGACATGGAAGTGGATGCTACCAGTGCCAAAGGGAATGAATTAGTCCTCTCCATTATAAGAGGATTAAAAAGAGGAGATGCAGTTTGATATGCATCCCCTCGTCCAAATGAGGAACCATTGCCTTCAAACCCTGAATATATCTGGTTCGGATTGGAGCTCGATTGCTGAAGGATAGATTCATTAGTTCGGGCAGGCGACAATAGCAACTGATCTACCTGAGCCTGGTGAAAAAAAAGGTATAATTCATCTTAGTAGTACAACACAATGTAACGGAACAAGTTTTGAGAATTATGACTGACGTGCAAAGGATTTGAGCCGTTATGGCTAACATTTTCAAATCCGAGTGTGTCCGGACTGGCGTTCATTCGATCGAGCTGAGGCTGATCATCTCTTGTTAAGGAAGACCGAAATTCCATATCTCCATCCGTCTGTTGAATAGTATACATGTTACACATATCATTCATTATAGACAAACCAAGAAGAAAAGCAAATGTAAATGGAGATCATTTACTGGTGCTTTGGGAACATTGGACGCTTCACCGAATGTATAATCACCAGAGCTAATCTCCTGAAAAAGTAATACATTAATAAAGAAAATTATCTTTAAAATTCATGAACGAACATATGATTTTATATTAGGGGACGGATTCTTAAAATTTTAAGAAGGAATAGAATTTCAGAGACGAAAGTAAATTTTCAGTATAAAATATATAGATAAAATCTAAAATATATAATAATTTTAAATGTTAAGAGAGCGATCCATCCCTATTTTAGTTTATAACAGAATTTGAGGTATATTCTTATTTACTTCTTAATTACCTTTGAGAAAATTGAGGCCGTTTCATTTTGATGATTGTTATCAGCCATAATATTATTGACGTTGTTCAGGAATTCTACATCATCAAAGTAAAAAAACTGGAAGTCCATATCATCTTCATTTGGACTGCTCTCCATTGTACTGTTCTGCTCAAAATAAATAAACAAAATTAGCATCTAAATCAGATTAATTAGGCCTTAACATGGTCTAAACCCATAAATAATCCGTATTAAACGACTTCAATTATAATATATATTTCAATTACTTACCCAATTTAATATTAAATTTCATTTTTATCTTGGACCCTGGTGAAGCTACGTTCTTACATTTGTCATCTTAGCAAAGGAGGAATAATTCGAGTTTGTTGAAACCAATGAGGAATCAGTTTTGTCAGAGAATCTCAAGTCTTGACTTGAAAAAGAAAACAAGACCATATTGCCCGGAAACTGTTTGATTATTGGTTCAGAGCAAGTCCCCACTACATTCCAAAAAAACTTTGAATATAAAAAATTGGACTTTTTTAATTATTTTTATTTTTTATTATAATATCTAAATATTTTTATATAAAAAAGAGAAATATATATCGGAAAAACCTTTTTTTTTGTAAAATAACTTTAATTTCATACAAAAAAGAATATTTTAAAAATTAAAAAGCCATTCTTAGATCTGAAAAATATAATCATTTTTTTCAAACAAAATATGATATATAGTGAATTTTTTTATATTGATATGGATATAAAAAATTTAATCTAATACATCTAAGAAAATATTATTTTTATATTCTTTTAGTTTTTTCTCAAAGAAGAGAGAGAAAATTTTATCTCTTCATTGAATCAAAACTGAAGGTGGGGACATTGATCGCATCAATATCAAAATTGTGACACGTTCTTAGATCTGAACAATATAACATATTTTCCGACATAATACGATTTAATTTTCTTGTATTAAAACAGCTATAAGCAAGGATTTAAGTTGTAGTACATTAAATCATGCTTGATTGTTTTCCTACAAGAGGGAGAACTGAACTCTAAAAAAACCAAATCAGAAACAAGGATTTAGGATAATAGTTAAAAATATTAAAAAACCATTTTTTAATAAAAATGAAAAATTATAAAATGTGAAGATGAAAAATGCAGTGAAATCAAGTTAAGATTTGAAACTAAACTGATTTAGGATTTAGAGATTTAAAAAGAAGTGTTTTTTACCTGTAGGACGAGGGTCTCCTTTGTTGGTAAAGGAGGTAGTAGAAAAGGACAGCCAACGCAAGAGACTAAAAAGGAATTGGGGAATATTGTTAAGAGCCACGATATTTTTTCTTTTTTTGGTGTGCCAGAAATGAAAAATAGGAAGATTATTTATAGGGTAAAACCGTCATGAATATACACTCACTCACTCACTCACACGAGTGTCACAATGGTAAATTTATCAGTGATTTAGAGATACTTTAAAACGCGTAAAAATATTCTTTTATTGGTATAAAATAATTACAATGTAATATTTGTTTAAAATACATTTAATCATTTAACAATAAACACTTAAATATCCATGTAGATGACATATTCAAATAATAAATCTCTAAGGATAACAATCATCTTTTTAATTACGAAAGTCTCTTAATTCATGCATGTGTTAGAATAATCTTAACATTTTTTAATAAATTTGAGGTGAATACAAAGTTAGTATTTGTTCAAAGATTCTCAATCATTTTATAATGAACACTCATACTTATAATATACGCGATACTTAAACTTGAAACCTCAAGAGATAATAGCAAGTCTCTAACTACTAAAGTATATTGGTTCGTGCGAATAATCTTTTAACTTTTAAATATTTTGGATAGACAAAATATTATAACCGTTGAAACATAAGACCTGTCTGACCGTGAATTGGTGTGTACATTTTTATTTACTATAATGAAACTCTAAATTTGAAAATTGTTTTGTTTTTCAAGAATATCAAGAAATCATATAGCATACAATTTACTCTTATAAGTTTCATATAATGAAAATAGTCAAATGCTTCGGATGAGTTGTTTTCTCCTTGTAAATTATTTGGGGGGAAAAAACTAATGTAAATTTATCTGGATTCAAAATATTCTAAAACTAATGTGAATTACAATTTATAAATCTAAATTGTAATTTATTTAACAATGAAATTATATGAAATTATAATTTCTGAGTAATATTTTGCTCTTTAATTAATTAATTTAAAAGATTGAGAGTACAAATTTACTTAATAAATGATGACTACATTTAGAAGTAGCAACAATCAATTTACTTCTAAGTAGAAATACTTCTAATGATTGTATCGAATTATCAAAGTTTTACAAATAATGAAAAAAATCAAACTTAAATGTGTATGTCTATCCATGTTAAGCGCTGATAAATGATCGAATATATTGACTAGGTAATACTGATGAGCTAACAGTGAAAAATTCGTTTTACCACACGTAAATATTTGATTCCTTAAAAGGCAAGATAGTTATTGTATGGCGCATGCGTGTGTACAGATGTGTTCGAAATTATTAGAAGAGAGACAGTTTATTATTAAAAAAATAGAGAAAAGTAACTGAAACTGAAGTCTCTTGCCTGGCTTTGCCACGTTGTTCTTGCACTGATTGGCTCACTATTAATTTTTCCAATTCATGCAAATGCTTACCAGAACTTACCATAAAATCAAATTCTTTATAAGACGGGTCCATCTACGGTTATATTAATTTTCAGAACTCTAACAATAATCTTAAACTACATATTCAAAACCGTGGGCGACTTCAAACTACCCAAATAACAGCTTTATCGATAGACAAAACCACCAACGAAATTATATTAAGTGGATTTTATCACACCCGTTTGCGGTGAAATAAGAAGAAAAAAAACTATATAGAAAGACATTAAAAAAGACGGGGTAATTTTTTTTGAATAGTATTGATTTTTTTTTATAGAATGTGAAGTACTTTTTATTTATATAGGTTCAAAAATAGTAATTTTATAAATAAATAAAAGTATTAGTAGAGATGATTTTTAGGGTCTATAGACATCATAGAGTAAAGTCAGAAAAAATAGTATTAGGATAATAATTATACTCTTTGTAAATATAAGGATGAACTACACAAGATAACACTAAACTTTAGTGAGATGTGTTAATTAAAAGGTTAAACTATATCATATACCACTAAACTTTAGGTGATATATTATTTGAACTATTGAACTTTTAATTTATCCATGCAATTATAGCACTAAAATTTGGTTTTAACTTTAATTATGTCATTGGGTCATTAAAATCCAAACATCGTGATGACATGGATATAACGATATCATTTTGGTGCAATTATTGATGCCTAAATTAAACAGTCCACTTTTTTGCCCATCACTAACCGTCTTTCGCGACAAGACTCCTCTTTCGTTTCCTAAGTTTGATTTTCCACAAAATTCACTCAAAATCAATGAAATTAAATAAAATAATTCACTATTTTAAGAGTTTGAGAGTTTTCTAATTTTTAAGGGCTTTATGATTTTTTCCAAAATTCGAACGTTGAGAAGCATTAGTTCAATTAAATGAACAAAATATCTCAAAACTAGTCTAATCGGATGACCGTAAGAGGAAATTAAAGTATTAATGCACCAAATTTTTAAATGGTTTTCGTGAAAAAATAATCCTAAGAGTAAAATATAAATGTTTTGATTTCAATGTTGTTGCGAAAGACGACCAACGACGATTGGATTGCCATGGTGGCCGAAAATGTTTTGTGCCAAAAATTAAACATTTTCAATGTTTAGTGAAAAAATAAATACACTCTAAAGTTCAATGCCTAAAATGTTGTCGTTTTGGGCATCAAAAACCACATTCAAACGATCTCATTTTGTCAATATCATCACAGTGACATAAAAATTTGTTCATGTCATCGTGTCGTTAAAATTTAACGGTCCAGTGACATAATTGAATTCAAAACCAAAGTTTAATGGTATGATTTCAAAATTGAAAGTCCAAAGGTATAAATGTTACAACGTCTAATTTTAGGGTATCTACTATAATGTATCCTAATTCAAAAGGAATAAAAACTAATCCAAGGTTAAATGTAATACCTGAATTTTGAAAAATGAATTTTACCAATCAAGTGCAATTTTTTATTAAATTAATATTTTAAACATTATTAAATAATTTTTAATATTTGAAACTACTCGATTGATTTTCTATGAAATTCAATTTTTTGAATATGATATCGAATAGTTGATTTGATATCTTATATCCAATTAAGTTTTTTCTTGAAAATGAAGGATTCATTAAATTCCAATAGCGTCATGCTATACAATAAATCGAATACATTCAGGCCCGTCATAATAAAACCAGTACGGATTGAGTCTCGACAATGCCCATTGAGCAAGATAGTGAGTTGCTCTGTTGGTTTATTTGTTACCGAAGAAAACTTTGAGTTCCCTATGATTAGCCAAAATCTCATGAGCTTTGTTGAGCAACAATTCGATGGTTGAAACGTCTTCATGCCTATTAGTGAGTCTGTTGACAATGGAAATTGTGTTAACTTCGATGACCGCTTTCGGCCACCCATTTTCAATAGCAAACTTAAGCCCTTGGGTGAAAGTGAAACCCTCTGCCAATTCGACAGAGAACGGGGGTGAAGCTGTCAACACTTCCCTCATACAACCATCTCGTTATTGTCTCTTGTCACAATGCTTATCGCAACAATAGCTTCGGTGGCATAGAACGCCCAATCAACATTGATCTTAATGGTGTCAGTAAGAGGTCGGGTCTAAACTCGAGAGTGTCCTTGGTATGGAGGGTCAATCTTACTCTCTTTCCTTACAGTGTAAAACTCAGAGTAGAGATTTCACGCCGCAATGACAACATCTCTACCCTCTTGTAACTCACCCTCGTGGATCCACTTGTTTCATCGATTCCAAATGTTCCACAATAACACAAAAAAAAAAAAAAAATCGAAAGATCTTTGGTAATTCAGGCATTCTTAAGTTTTTCGCTGATGGGTATCACATTATAACACATTATCCATTCAAAAATTTTGATTTTTGGTAAAATCGGGAACTTTTTGAGGATTTTCCAAATCTTCCTTATTCCTGAGAGAGCCCCTTCTAGAGGAGAAGCCAGTTGTAACCAGATTTTGCCTAGTAGCAGCTTGTACTATGGAGACTCTAGTTTAGCTTGTCTTCGTGAGAGAGAGCGATGAGAGTACTTAGCACTCTTCATGTATCCTCACCTGTCAACACCCTTTTGATATTCTCTTCATCCTATCTTAGCACTCTTGGGAGCATGAACTCTGAACATTTAATGGGTTGTTCCTCGTAGTTAAAACAGGGGCTTATCCAATTCCTAGGGTATGCGTCCCCCCATGGATTCCGGAGCATTCTGATATTGCCTTCGTATCTCACTGTCCAGAAGAAGCCCTCCTTCAGCGCTTCCTTCGCTTTGAAAAGGCCAACCCAGGCATGTAAGGCTTGATCCCCTATATTGGCTTCAAAAAAGGAGTACAGAAGAGAAAGAGATACGGGGAAAGGGTGTCTCCTTGGCGGAGTCCCCTCTCTGAGGTAAACACATCTAATAGACGGCCATTGATTCAAATTTAAAGGGACACAATGCTTACACATTTCCTTATGAGTTAACAAAATTGTCATTAAACCTCATTTTTCCTCATAATTAAGAACAGAAAGTTCTATTCAACCCTATCATAAGCTTTCTCCATATAAAGTTTAAAGGTTGTCACTTTGTTTGGACCATTTTTAGAACTTCAAAGATAGTGAAAATGCTCATGAGAAACCAATAAGTTGCCCGAGATTTGATGACCCACGACAAAAGCACACTGGTTAACCACAATACATTTAGGCATTAAACACTTAAGACGATTAATGATAACCTTAGACACAACTTTATGAGTAACCAAACAAAGGTTAATTGGTCTAAAGTTTTTCATTGATTTAGGGTTTTTCAGTTTAGGGATGAGAACAATGACCATTTTGTTAATAGAATAGAAATCAGCCAGACCATTCAAAAGATCAAGACATAACTTAACAAAATCTATTCCTACAATATCCCAAAAAATATGATAAAAGGAACCTGAAAGATCGTCGATACCTGGTACTTTGTTGCGGCTAATTTGGCAAAAGGCTGAGAGAACCTCTTCTAATGTGAACATTTGGAAAAATCTTGTATTGTCCTTCATATAGAAACAACAGCTAATCGCATTGAGGATTGCACTTGACGGTTCCACTTGAGAAGAGCTTAAGAGAGAAAAAAATAGCTAGTAGCGATGTAAAAAATACCTTCTTAGTTATCCACCCATCGCCCTTCATTGTTCTCCAAGCCATTGATCCAGTTCTTTTTCCACCTACCATTAGACCTAGCATGGAAGAAAGAGGTACTTTTATCCCTGTTCTTTAGCCAGGCCACTCGCTATCTCTGTATCCAGTAGGCTTCATCTTTATTAATAAGCTCTTTTAGATCTTTTTTAGCTTGGATGAGTCTCTCAACTAATTCCTCAATGATTAATTCTTCTTCCAGTCGACCTATGAGAAATCGGAGCTTCTTCTCTTTGTTTTTTACTATATTTCTTTAACTCTTATGCCATCTTCACAATTTGGTTTCGAAAGCCTCCATCTTGTTAGTAATAGTTCCTGTCATGCCACTTCAAGCTTCTCCTACTACCTTCTTACAAATTTCCTCTCTGGCACAATAAGGGTGAAACATGAAGTAACCCCCTAGTAATTTCTTGTGGGAGGGGTAAAAGCTCTATGAAGCTCAAAAACAATTGATGCATGGTCAGAGCAACTGGTGGTATCAGTTTTCACTCTACTGTCTTTCAAGAGTTGTAGCCACATTTGCGAAGTGAAAAAGCAATCTATACTTTCCCTTATATGGTTTTTCCTATTTTTCCTAAAGTCCAGGTAAACCAACCAGATTTGGGTTTCACATCCTATAAATCAGCCTTAAGAATACCAAGTCTGAAGTCTTCCATGTTCACGTTCGATCTTTAACGTCCTCCGAGTAGAAGATCTCATTGAAGTCGCCCTTAACCACCCATGGTAGCTGAGAGGTGCCAGCCAGTCGATTGAAGAGATCAAAGTTCTTATTTTTCCTTACAATAGCACTCCACCATAGAACAGTAAACCAAAAATGAATTTCAGACCAAACAACTTCAACATCAATATGGGAACTCGAATAGCCAATCAAGGTCACTTGGACTTCTTCCTTCCATAGCAACAAAAGACCAGTACAGTTTTCAGATTTTTCAACGACAAAACAACCATGCATGCCTAGCCTACGACAATTCCAGTATAGGTTTTCATGGTGATCGGTGGGGCTGCTCCGCAGCCTCCATCGTTGGTACAAAATTGTAGCCCATATCACTCGAAGCTTCAGAAGGATCATCTTCTTCATTATTTTTTATCTATGTAGCCATTTTTCGTACACTTGGGTAAGGACGAAAAGATGAGCCTAATAGATATCCCAAAATGGGGGTTTATATATATTCCAATAATAGTTTCCTTTTACGACTTGTATATTTGTTTCTTTTCCTAATAATCAACCAATGGGATTTTCCAAACCTCCTTGGGTCTTGAACCTTGTACCAAAGAAATAAAGATTTTTGGATATGAAATTTTCATGTTGACCACACCACCCACCATTATGACATAACCTTATCCATCCGTACCTATCATGGTTCTTAAGGAGTATTCCAAAAAAATAGAGTTGGGAAGACAACTTATTGACTAGACAAGGCATCTTTTTTACCCTCTCATCCAACATCTCACTTTTTTTTTTTGTCTAAGATGTCCCATTGTGGCTTTTATTTTAGTCCTTTTTTTTTGTCTAAGACAACTTGCTGACTAGACAAGTCAGCTTTTTTACCCTCTTATCTAATATGTAACCTTCAGAGTACGTCTTGAATATTATAGAGGGCATGTATTGTCATAGACCCTAGTTATTTTTATTGAGCCGTAACTCTATTTTGTATTATCATGTTTTGGAGAATTATTGTTGGGAACTCCCCTATATTTAAATACTTATATTTTTGTAACTCTTTTTACTTTGAGTATTTTATGATGCACTTTAAGGTTAATGATGTAAGGCACTTGTATCTTGTCGATTGATTGTGGATCTAGGAAGGAAGCAAAACAACCTGCATAAGTGAATGAATTAAAACAGATGGTTAAGGGTGGTAAACGTATGGGTGAATAGGTATGCTATTTAAATAATGAGTGATGGAAGCGGAAGATGGTTGATATGGCTATGGTTTATGGTTGATGAAACAAAGGTATGGTTGTGAGGTAGTATCTTAAAGAAGACTCAAAGAAGAACTAATGCTATAGAGAGCAAAGACCCATACTTTATATTGCTTCTTTAAGGGGTGGTATAAAGGACTTTGACCCACTAGTTATAAGAACTAGGAACCAGAAGTATCAAGGGGAAGGGGATTGACGCCACAAGTATAAAAATACTTGATAAGTCGATAAAGTCACCAGGACTTAAGAAAGAGAATAATCCCACTTAAATTAATAAAAAATGTCTGATTACAAATGAAATATGATGGCCTATTTATAGGAAATGAAGAGGCATAGCCGAATAGATGCATGGTGGTTCGACCAGCCCTTGTGTCTTCCTATAAAGTCATAATTTAATTACAAATAAAGATGATGGTTCAGTTTAAATGGAGGGTATTAACCCTTGGCTGAATAGCTCTTGTGTCCCTTCAAGTTGGTGCCAAAAAGGAGAGGAGATGCTACTTGGCCAAATAGTGAGAAGGCTCTTCATCTTGGCGCCTAAATGATACCACATGTAAGGCACATGGGGGCTGGTCATATGGAACACACATGGGTGTTCTAGGGAGCCTTGTGGTGCATCCTTGTGCATGGGATGAAGGCTGGTCATGTGCACCATCTTGGGCGTGCATGTGTTATCCTCCAAGCTAGCTTGAGTGTGGAGCTAGCTAGCAAGCAAGGGGCTATTTGTGAATGAGCTTCCTAGCATAGTCCTTGTGAGATTCATATCAGTATGTTCAACTACATTCAGCTACCATTGATATCACTTTTGGTAACTCAACTTCAAATAGTCCAACTAGCTGAGTTTAGCTAGACTTGAGCTCCTCCAGCTGAATTGAGCTTTCCTTAGTGTTCCATGAGCTGCCATGTACCTTGTGAGTTGTTTGTGAGCTGCATTTGATGCCCAAATAATCCACTAAGCTACCCCGACGTGTTTCATAATCCAATGTACCTACATGTGCAAGGAAACAAGGTAAGTCCATGGCATTGAGCTGATATGAGCTAAATACCTTGCTGCCATGCATGAATATGGTAATGTAAGCTATTATTGAAGGTCATGAGCTAAATATACCATCTTATAATATGTATGAACTAATGCATAAAGCCTAAGTGCTAAAATGAATGCATAGGAGCTGATAAAATGAATGATAATTATGCTGTCTTGATGTATATGTGATAATCATGCTTAATATGATTATAAGACTATTCTAACATGCTTAATATTAAAAAATAACAATGTGCATGATGTGTTCATACTAAGTTATTTATTAACTACATAACTAATATTCTTATTATGAAATATATTATAATAACATATAGTATAGAACCAATATAAAGTAAATTCAGTATAAAGATGTTCAAGAGTACTCCCTTTGTAGTGAAAACATGCTTGCATCAGTTAAATTGGTCAACGATTTCAAAAAAGTAGTTAACCACTTAGGTGGCCCCATGTGACTCTAAATATCCAGACTTCGGGTTGGATTAGATTAGGGCGATACATTATTGGTATCTGAGCGTCAGATTCAGTCGGTTCTAAGACCCTCGGGTTAGAGTTCTTAAGTGTCAATGAAGTACATTCCTCTAGAGTGTCAAGCGTACTTAAGTGTCTAGAATTTAGCAATGTTGACTCCTCTCTTTCCTTGGAAATATGTAGGTTATGGCTGACGACCCCACCCATAGACAGAAGGGCCGAGTAGAGAGTTGTGCCTACTTAGATAAAGACTTAGAGGGCGAGTTACTCCCGATTCTAAAGAGATGTATATCCTAGGGGAGGACAGTATAGACAAGGTCACCTTTTTTAGAGATATCACGCAAACATTGAGGCAAATCACGTTCTCCCTAGGTCACCCATTGCACCCGTTTCAATAGTCACCGTTCGAGATACTCTGTTGCTAGAAGATGACTAAATTCATGGTTTCTGAGGAGGACGATCCTATAGCCACTAACTAATGGATTTGTAAGACACTCTGCACGTTGTGACAACTTCATCTTACCCCCAAGGGTAAGCTAGAGTGCATCACTGTCCTGCTGAAGGGTGATGCCATAGATTGGTGGAAGACCATAAGCTGGCACTGGAGCCCGAGTGACTGATCTGTGAGTTATTTCTATCAAAGTTCCAGTTGAAATACATTGGAGAATCCTACACCAAATACCTAAGAGATAGATTCTTGTACCTGACTCAAGGTGGCTTCCCTTTGTTTAAGTATGAGAGTAAGTTCTTGCGCTTGAGCCAACACACACCAGAGTTAGTTTCCTCTAAGGAGTGAAGTTGTAGAAGGTTCAATCAGGGATTTCATATGGATATGTTCACTCCCTAGAGTGTTCATCGAGCTGACCCGACAGACCAAGACGATTGAAGAGATCCTGAACAAGAGGGCTCGTATCACGAACGAGAGCGGGGGACAGATCCGTAAGACCCCAAAAACTTCTAGACCATCTCAAATTCATCCAAGAGGTCCAGAGACTCTCGAGGGTCGTGGATACATTCCTTTACTCAGTTATAGATGTCATAATAGGGTCTAAGTCGTAGACAAGGATTAAAGGACTGTCAGAGACCTTTGATTTCAACATCTTAGGTGAGTACCAGAGGATCGAACAACACCATACAACCCCCGACTTTTAGACATTACGGTAAGAGGCGTTCTAGGGAGTGCCATAGAGTTTCTCGAGTTTGTTATGGTTGTGGATCACATGAGCGCCTTATCAGGGATTACCTCAGGTAGGGAGTGTAACATCGTCCGTGGCACAAAGGGTTTCTCAATCAACTTAGAAAGGCCAGAGATCCTCTTAGAGAGGAGGTATTTCTACCTTTGGATGGCATAACCAAGGCACCACTAGATCCGTAGCAAGTCCTGGGGCTAGGGTTACTTCCCGCCAGTACGCAGTTAGAGGTCAGGAGGACTACGAGGCTGTTGATGTCATCTAGGTATCTTTGCAATATCTGGTATGCCTGTTACTGCTTTAGTAGACCCTGAATCAACCTATTCTTATATCTATTATGACTTCATCCCAGAGAGCGATATCCAATTGAGGACTTAGAAGTCAAGGTTCGAGTTTTGAGTCCTATAGGGTTAGAT